TCGTTTTCCCTCTGAATCCCCACTTCCCAAATGTCAACACAAAACAGCTGACGGAGGACGGCTGTGTTGTTCTAGTGAGCGTTTACTCTTGTTTGTGATTTTATCCTCTTCACCATGGACAGTAAGGATAAGGATCATATCCTGAGCTTAAAGGGTAAGTTGAAGGTGGATACATATTGTGCGAAATGAATGCCGAAGTTTGAATACACTGGGAATGTTACGGGATGAATCTCTACCGTTATGGATTACTATAAATGATTAAGTTACATTTCATGGTAATTAGGCAAAACGGGACCAAACAGTATCCAGTGTAGTTAAGAATGATTTAAATATTTGCATATCTTAGTTATGATACTACTTATAGACAGTAATTGCCAAACATTTTCCGATTTCGTGTTTATTAACCATAAAACAGAAAATGTATGTGCACTAGACGTACACAAAGTTGATATAGTATTTTTTTTTTATTTGCTACAGATCAATTTAGCTGTGTTTTCACGTCTAGGTCTACATGGCCTTAGGTATAAGCTAATTAACTTCCCAGAGCATGGTAACAATGATCATGGGTTGCCACATTTTTTACTTAGAGTCATATTTACCACAGTCATGGCATCTTTTTGCACATGTAAAAAAAGTGAAAGGCTGTTTCCCTGCACTGTTTTACCTTTGAATGGGATATTGTATCACCAGATAGGTCTGGGTTTGTCTGGCAAGTTTACTCTAGCCACACCCACCATACCTTCCCTCTAGCTTATTTTCCATGTAGACTCGCTTCTTTAGGGGATATGCTTATATTCTGAGACACTTGGCTCACCTGAAACGTCTGTCAGCCAATCTCTGTCGGGCTGTCTCAACTGTGATTGGCTGATGGGTGTAAGTGGCCAGTCTGGCACTCCGTTTCAGGTGTCCCAAGAGTCTAAATATGAGTGATAATTGTGCAGTCATGTGTACTATGTCTTTTTCATTGTGGATGGAATGTAGTGAATGTGAAATGGTGATTAGGTACTTTGTGGCATTAACCCCATATTTTCATCCTCAGTTCCCCCTCTACAAAATCTCTTTACTATTTATTCATGGATGTTTTATTGCTTCAGAAGTTAGATATATGTGTAATGATTTATATGCACTTTATTTGCCTTTTTCCAACCATATGCATTGTGCAACATTTCATTATCATATGCTAGTGAAATATATTGGGCAATACTAATTAAGGCAACCGCACTACATATACCAAGGAAAGTATAATGAAATTATTGACTAGTGTTTGCACATGTCGGTGAAGTTAATAAAATTGTGGGAACCTCACTGGTTGTGCTTTAATTCAAATTCAAAGGTCACCTTTCTAAGAGTCCACAGACTTCAATGTCTCAAACTGTCTCGAAATACTGAGAGCTTTCTGAAAAGTACGGCGAAATACCCCAAGGAAAGGGGTCCAGGGCTTGCCCCGGTAGGAAATACCCCCAGGGAAGGGGGCCCGGGGGCTTGCCCCCATTAGGAGGTTAGGAAGGTATGCTTCGTTTGTATGGCAAAGTACCCCCAGGAAAGGGGTAAGGAAATACCCCAGGGAAGGGGGTCCAGGGGCTTGCTCCTGGTAGGGAAATACCCTAGGGAAGGGGGTCTGGGTTTGTTAGCAGCTCTGTGGCGCCAGACTCTCGTTCAGATTTTACATTTTTTTCAAAATGTTCTCTTTTGATTCCCCCGATTCTCCATGGGTACCCCAAGATTGAAGGGGGTAGGAGAAATAAAACAGGCGCATTTCTAGTGAGTAAAGTAAAGCTTTTAAAAATACAGGGTAGTGAGAGACAAGTGAAGGGTCTTAAATAATGCGCAGAGAGCTGGTTTTTTCTAAGATGATGGTTATTGTACATTAAATTTACTTACCTTGAAAAAGATTCAATTAAAAATTGTCTCATTATCAGTCCCCTTGAAAATTTAAATGAAAATGCATGATGGTAGTTATGGTTATCCATAAAACCACTTTGTTTATGCATTTGAGTTTTATCTTGGAAACAAATTTAAATTAATTTGAATAAAGATTGTCACTTTAATAATCATCTTTCAGTAATGCGCCTCACTAGACCATCCCTGTTCACGGGATTAGCCATCGGATCTGATGCCCGAGACTTACCTGGGGATTACCTCAATGCAGACATCCGGTCAGACATTGCCATTCCCCAGGGCATCCCAAACACAGGAGTGGGACACATGCTTCTTTTGCCTCAGAGCTTTGGGTAAGTGTCTTTTTAGTTTGTTTGGTATAATTTGTAGATATATTTGTTTTAGAGAATGAGTATATCAGTGAATTCATACTGGATTCCTTAGTTTAAGATGTTTATGGAATTTGTATCTTTAACTTTTTGTTTATTTTACAGAAATATATATTTGGGTGAAACTTTTTCCTGCTGTCTATGTGTTCACAATGATGGAAATGAAGTCATTCGTGAAGTTTCAATTAAGGTAAACATTCTGTATGAATACTTAGAAATGAGTTTTAAATATAGTAGTACAGTTAAGGTCACATAAAAGGCAGTCTCCATATGGGCAAGCTGTTATTAAATCGCAGTCCAAGGTGGGCCGAGGCAGAGATAACATCATGAGTGACAAAACGTATGGGCATAACATCATGAGTGACAAAACTATAGGCATTGAAGTAACAGTGCCCAAGTTCCAGTCTCCACTGACCATTCTGTCTGTGGAGACAAAATGAATGTGCATTCTAGTAGGCATCTTTAGGAGCCTGGGATTCACTGATAGATTTGGTAGAACAGTTTGTTACTAGATCAGCCTTTCTTGGTTATGATGTCATCCATACTCGTCCCACCACCCATTTATATCTAGTAATAGTTTTTTTTCTGTGTGAGGAATACCCATTTTATGGATGAAGCCTAAACTTTTGTAAAAATTTATGCAAAAAGAGAATATGTTTATAGACCATAATATACAACATCTATACATTTTCTTTGTAGTATTTTTTTCAATATCTGTTGTAAAGCATTTACTCATATTACAGGCTGTGCTTCAGATGAGTAATCAGAGAGTGCCTCTTCTGGGAGAGGAGGAGAATGAATCACTACATCAGTTGGATGGTAATGCCACTATAAATGAGGTTATACAACATGAAGTTAAAGACATTGGCACACACATGTAAGTCTAGATCACAAAAAAAGAAACTATAGTGAATGATATAATAAAAGTACTATATATGGTACTATATATATATATATATATATATATATATATATATATATATATATATATATATATATATATATATATATATATATATATATATGTATATATATACATATATTCATTTATTTATTATATTACTATATTATATATATATATATTTATATATATTAATTTCTTTATTAATTTGTTATTTAATTATTTATTTATTTATTTATTTGTGTATTTATTTATACATTTATTTATGTCTATATTTAGAAAAAATATGTACTTTTTTGTGTTTCAATAGTTATTTGTAGATGTACTGTGCATGTTTTCATGAAGAACCATTACAAAGAAAGTAAATCAACTGGTGTGATTCTCATGAAAGCATTCTGTAGATCCATAATTGTTAAACTAAAGGTTACCTTTGCTATATGATATTAGGTGTGTACAGAAGTGTGAATGGACTACATTAATATGTTTTTTCTTTTTTTCTGTAATCTTTCCTTTTTCTAGTTTGGTCTGTGCAGTTAGCTATCTTTCACCAGCAGGAGATCGTCTTAGCTTTCGCAAGTTCTTCAAATTCCAAGTCATGAAACCCCTTGACGTGAAGACAAAATTCTACAATGCTGAGGTACAGAGTATTGGTCATTACAGATTCACTAGGACTGATAATGATTACTTTTAGTTGGTCTAGAACTTATGTTTAGTCCTGTATGATTAGAACTCTTTATTTCATAACTATAGTTTATTATTAAAACATTTAGATTATTTTCCAGTTAGCTGTTAGAGTTACAGATATAAGAGCTATTCATATGATTAGATAGTTACAATTTTTTTTTCTTCTTCATAGGCATAGTTATTATTTATTAATAACTGTAAAAGCCAATTTTGACAGAGCAGACATTTAGCCATATGTAACATCTTTAAAGGTTAGGAAATGTTGGTTTTCTTTCTGCAAAACAGCCATGCTATTCAGATGCCGTCATAAACCAAGGAAATTGTGTGATTTGTTGGCTGATGAAGTAATATAAAAATAGAGATATCCTCTTTTATGCCTGTTTATTTTTAGATTAAAGAAATAAATATATGCACATATAAATGGACTGCATTAACATAGAAGATAAAGAGGAACATTATTTGAAGTGTTAGCTATATAGGGTAGGTTATAAGACAAATTCTCTGTTTATGTTTTATCTTTCTCTATTGTACATCATATTCATTACCATTAAAGATGTCAGTGTTAGGTTAGAATACCATCTTGTAAATGCTAGAATATATGAATTAACCTGATTTGTACCTTAAATAAAGAATTCTATGTGGTTCAGAAGTATATAGAAGTGATGCAAAATTCACAAAAAGAGTGAAAATATATTAATTTTGCAAAGTAGACTTAATTTGTATAGATGTGGAATCTAGGTATATCATCTGAAGGGATTGGTGTCAATTTATTAAGATAAAGGGATTGATAAGTGAAAAGTCTTATATATTTTGCTCTGTGGCATGGCTCCATATTCTAAATTTTCTAGATTATTTACCAACTTGAAGGAAATAAGTCAGGGCAAAAAAGGATTTTAGATGAGGAAATAAGTGAAAGAGAAAGTAATTAAATCTATTAGATATTTTTTATATAGGTTAGCAATATGTTTTATAATTATCATGATTCATTACTCAAAATCAAGGAAGGATAAGAAGTTAGATAATTTTACATTGCATGTGGAAAGGTTCTCAGAGTAGATTGTCAAAGTTTCATTGGTTTCATGTTCCTCCTGTTGGGCTTTGTTAGATAGGAATATGTGACCTTCTGTACACTAGGGAAGTTAGCAGCAGACCTCAGTTGTGTGACTGTGGTAACTGAATTGGTAATGCTGATGCCGAGGCTGTGTAAGGGCCAATCTATTTACATTTTTGGTTTAACAGTAATAGCCCCATGGTATTGGAGGAAAATGAGAGAATGTTCTATTTGTAGTTGTAAAAGATGTTTAATGAATTTTAATTTGATATATACTGATAATGATTGACATTGATTTTAGAATTTAAATATTTCATTTATATAGAGTTATAGTGTTAGAAATTTGTTTATTGTAAAAGCAAGATGTACATTCATTTGTAGTGAATTTATGTGTGGATGTGATGGCTGAAATACTAAAAAAACAAAGTAAAGGTGTTAGTAAATGTCTTTCTATTGAAGATCACTGGTTATAATTGATATGGCTGTTAAGGAAAAAATGTTTATGCTGCATGCTTGATGTAAAAAAGCAAGCTATTATTAAAAGCTTATGGCAAGTTTTACTGGAAATAATTCCAATGTGACCATTGTTTCCAATGCATAAATGTAAGTGTTAGACACGTAAAGCTAGGACAGCAGTTTATGGCTTTAGCTTTTTAACAATAGTTGCTAGAGTTAGGAATTACAGCCAGTACTTGTAAACTTTAGTATTATCTTTCACCTATAAATTGATTTATCCAGAAGTATTTGATACTGCAGCCACTAGGAGAATGGCTCTAAACCTATTGGCAGTGCCTTTAAAACATGATACTGATAGATATGAAGTACTGCTGGTACATTTTTTAGTGGTACTCATGTTTTTTCAACTAAGATACACTTAGGGGCTGCAGTGATTGGTATTTTTTGGTGTATGAATTTATAAGTGGAAGACCTAAAAGTACCAGTTGTGCTTTCCAACTCTTATAATGACAAAGATGCTTTACAGGGCAGGTAGGGATGGCAACTTTTTTTAAGTAATCACATTATTCTTGAAGGAAAGGGTATATGATGTATCAGTACATTTTTATATGTTTTATAACAGTAATTAGCAAACATGAAAGTGTTTACCAGTTTATGACATTGCAAATTTAGTGGCTTTTTAGTTTTGGAGGTATAGCTTTTACATTTAGCATTCTTTACCTAGTTCAGCTGTAGTGAAGTAAATTGATGCACATTTTACTATATCACCTTCAAGATTTAGATGTTTTCTATTCTTTTTATGGGGTCTTTGCCTAAATACTGGTGGAGATAAGTTTAAGCAATACATTTTAGCATTTGAAGACGGTTAAGGTTTAACAAAAAAGTAAAGTATTTTGATACATCTTTTATGTAGGTGTGGTGGTTAGTGTCTAGAACAAAGCTAACCACAAGTGTTATTATGTGAACTTCTGTACAGTACAGATTTAACAGCATGGATTGATGACAAATTGATTCCTTTTCAAGTTGGCACACAACAAAGCTCAGGTGTGCCCATATGTTTTCTATATCTAACTTAAGCATGATTTTTGCATGTCCGTATTGCTTGCTTCTGCATGAATGCCTGCTGATCTTCATATTTGCATGCAGGATTATGTTGTAAGTATTATAGAATCTATATTTATTTTCATTTACATTACTTATTTATACATTTAGAGGGAATTTCCAGATTTCATCATATGATCTAAAGGTGGTTTGACATAGTAAAAGAACACATCTTAAGGGTGTAGAAAAAAAAAAACACAAGGAATTTTATTAAGGATTCAAAGTTAGAAAAGAATTTGCATGCAGTAGTTTTTCACCTAACCTGTATATAGTCCACAAGAACTGTGAACTGTGCATGATTATAAGGACTATAGTTTGCAAAAATAGAAGAGATTCAGATATGATCTTTTTCTTTTCTGTAAATACGAACATTCACAACCCACTACAAATAATAAAAATCTAGTTAATAAGGGCAAGCCAGTTATTAGAAATATAAATACAAACATAATGATAGATGTAGAAACCCTGTTATTTAAATGATGTGTTATGAGATCTATTCATATGTATGCTTCTATGAGTCTCTCCTCATACAAAATAACACTTCATGCCCATGTATCTTTTTCAGAAACTTTGTATACATTTCTTCCCACTCTTCACTTTTAAGATGCCCAAGAAATATATTGATGAGTGAGAGAGAGAGAGTATGAGTGAGAGTGAGAGAGTGAGAGTGTGAGTGAAATAGAGTGAGAGAGAGTGGGTTAGTAAGTGAGTGAGCAAGTGAGTAAGTGAATGAGTGAATGAGTTTGAGAGTGCAAATGAGACTGAAAGTGAGCATGTGAGAGTGAGAACGAGTGAAAGAATGAGAGTTAATGAGGAGCAAAAGGCAGGGAGTAACAGAGAGCAGATGAGAAAAGAGAAAGAGGAGTGATAAGCAGTGAGTGACTAACTAATTGACTGACTGAGTGAGCGAGTGTGGGAGTGAGTAAGTGAGAGAGTAAGAAAGTAAGTAAGAAAGTAAGAAAGTAAGAAAGTAAGTAAGTAAGTAAGTAAGTAAGTAAGTAAGTAAGTAAGTAAGTGAGTGAGTGAGTGAGTGAGTGAGTGAGTGAGTGAGTGAGTGAGTGAGTGAGTGAGTGAGTGAGTGAGTGAATGGGTGAATGGATGGATGAATGGATGAGTGTGTGAGTGAGTGAGTAAATAAGAAACCAAGTAAGTAAGTAATTAGTTAAGTAAATAATTGATTGAGTGAATGAATGAATGAGTGCATTACAGAGTGAGTGAGTGTATTAGAGAGTGCATGAATGAGTGAGTGCATGAATGAGTGAGTGAGTGAATGAGTGAGTGTATTAGAGAGTGAGTGAGTGAGTGAGTGTATTAGAGAGTGCATGAATGAGTGAGTGAATGAGTGAGTGAGTGAGTGAGTGAGTGGAGTGAGTGAGTGAGTAAATGTATTAGAGAGTGAGTGAGCAAGTAAGTGTATTAGAGAGTGAGTATATGAGTGAGTGAGTGAATGTCTTGGTGATTCCCGTGTGTATCCGGGAGGGAGTGGAAAGGATAGAGGGGATGGAGGGAGAGAGAATGTGCGTATAGTTAGAGTTGAAGAGGGTGGGTTGTGTTGGGAGGGAGTAGGAGGAAGTGGTGTGGGGGGAATATTAGTGCTAGGAGGATGGATATCAGAAGGATGGATAGTTGAAGTTGAAGGGGATGTGTTGTCTTGGGAGGGATTAGGAGGAAGGGGTGTAGGGGTGCTATGAGTAAGAGGGGGATGGATTTCAGGAGGATTGGTATTGGGAGGATGGCTATCGGTGGTGGACGGAATTGAGGGGGTTAGGTTGTGTTGAGAGGGAGTAGGAGGAAAGGGTGTAGGGGGAATATGAGTGGGAGGGGTATGGATATTGGCAATCACTTCAAGTGTGGAGGGAGCATGAGATATGGAATTTTGTGTGTCAAGCACATACCTTTGAATGTCTTCCATAATTTCTGCAGAGTTTTGTGGGACAAAGGTTTTCTTATGAGGGGGGAAGAGGAGACTGGTGTCTGAGGGGTAAAGGTAAAGGTAGGTGGAGGTGAGTGTGCAGTAGAGGAAGGAGTGGAATATTGTCTGTCTTCTTCGGGTAGTGCGGGGAGGGAGAGGGTATGGTGTTGGGGCTGTAGTTGAGATTGGAGCTGTGGTTGAGATTGGGGTGTCTGGATTTAAGAGTGGCAAAAGAATTTGACTATGAGAGGTAAAATGTAAAAGTGGAAGTGGTGGAAGTGGGGAAGTAAGTAGGTATAGTGGAGAGTGTAGAAACATCTTGAGGTGGAGGGGGAGGGGCAGAGCGAGCAATATTACTAGAGTAGGGAGTATGAGAGAAACCTTGTTGACGTGCTTCCTGTCTGGCTTCACGTAAAGTGAGACCTTTTTTGTATCTGAGAGTTGCTACCTCAGACTCAAACTTGTAAGTGGGACAGCCTCTATAAAATACATTATGGGGGCCGTTGCAGTTAGCACATGTACGTGTTTGTGTAGAGCAGTTTGAATGGTTATGGCTGGGTTGGGCACATAGAGGGCATCGGGCTGTGGAATGGCAGTGTTTGACAGGATGTCCAAAGCGCCAACAGTTTTGACATTGATGGGGAGGGGGTTGGTATAGTCGAACAAGGAGGGATTGTCCACCAATGTAGATACATAAGGGAAGGTCATGTGTACAGAAAGTAATTTTGGCAATGTTGATCGGTTTCTTTTATTGACCTCTAGGAGGAATGGTGTTGCAATGTACTGATTTCACATCTTGGCCTTTGAGGCATCCTAATAAGTCTTCTCCACAGTCTGACCAATCTTTGGTATCGACTGGGCAGATTGCTGGGGAGAGTGAGACAGTTCCGGTACAAGTATTAAGGGTTGGATGAGGTTCTGCGGGAATGGGGTAGCCAGAATAATCAGCTAGATTTGATAATGCTATAGATTCAGTTTCTGATCTGACTGTAACGAGACGGGAGCGATCGTGTCTGGTATAGAAAGGGACTGCTTGCTTGTTTTTGGAGGCATTGTTGAAAGAGAAGAGTGTTGCCTGAGTAAGGAGCTGTAGAAGGGATTATGAAAAATTGGTCCCATTTAGCTGGGCTAAACAGAGTATTTAATAAGATATTTGTTGGATTGGTGTTGGTGGATGGTTGGGGACATATGGAAGAGAGAGTATTATGGAGTGATGGAGAATAAGGCTGTAAGGTAGTAATACAGGAGGATGGGGTGCTTGATGAAGGTTGTGGGGGTAGAGTTGATGAATTTGAGGAAGTTGGGAGGGTAGGAATGTCTTTTGGAGATTGAGTCTGTAGGCATTGAGGAGTGGGTTGTAGTTTCAGTGTTCGGAGTCGAGGTCAAAGGAGAGCCTGGGGTTGGGGAGCCGGTAGGGCTATTTGATGAAGGGGCAAGCCTCATTGCCCCTAATAAGGGTATTACATCTTCATTACAGGCCATGGGAAGCCTTGATTATGTAAAGGGAAATAAACAGTCCACCCCCCAGTGCCCTGTACGGGGGTAAGGGCTAGACAACCACATCAGGGGAGTACTGTGCCCATGGTTCCCGCTGGCCATTCAGAACTGGCACAAGGTCAGCCTTTCATCCTTTCAGCACGGCTCTTACACCTTAGGAAGTAGATAGTAGAAGGGGTTGGAGAAGGGATGGAAACAAAAAGCTGGAGGGGGAAAAGGCCATGCAAAATTAGGCAGGGGAGATCCCTGCACTGGGCCTCAGTCTCCATCTCCTAAGCACCCCTACGACAATAACGGGCAAAGGATTGGGGGGGGTTTCATTACATAAGTAACCAAATTATCTTCATTTGCCTGTTTTTTTTGTTTTTTTTGTGTTTGTGTGTGTTTGTTTGTGTGTGTGTTTGTTTGTGTGTGTTGTTGTGTGTGTGTTTGTTTGTGTGTGTTTGTTTGTGTGTGTGTTGTTTGTGTGTGTGTTTGTTTGTGTGTGTGTGTTTGTGTGTGTGTTGTGTTGTTTGTTGTGTGTGTTTGTTTGTTTGTGTGTGTGTGTGTTGTGTGTGTTTGTTTGTGTGTGTGTGTGTTTGTGTGTTGTGTTTGTGTGTGTGTGTTTGTTTGTGTGTGTGTGTGTTTGTTTGTGTGTGTGTTTGTGTTTGTGTGTGTGTGTGTGTTTGTGTGTGTGTGTTTGTTTGTGTGTTGTGTGTGTGTGTGTGTGTGTTGTGTTGTGTGTGTGTTTGTGTGTTGTGTTTGTGTGTGTGTGTGTTTGTTTGTGTGTGTGTGTGTGTGTGTTTGTGTGTTTTGTGTGTGTGTGTGTGTGTGTGTGTGTGTGTGTGTGTGTGTGTGTGTGTGTGTGTGTGTGTGTGTGTGTGTGTGTGTGTGTGTGTGTGTGTGTGTGTGTGTGCGTGTGTGTGTACGTGTGTTTGTATTAGGATCTTAAAAGAATGATGCACCCACATGAGATTATGATACTCATTACACAATAATTATCTTTTGCACCCTTATGTTTAATATCAGTTCATGAATGGTAATGATATACATGTAAACATCCCAACAATAGAATAATAATAACTGATTTAGAATGATTTTAGATAACAAATTCAATATTGTTTGATAATACCTCCATTGACATTAAGAATTATTTTCTATAATAAAAAGAAAAAAAAAAGTCCATTAGAATTCTCAAAGAAAGTGAGATCTTAGACAGTATTATAAGAGATCATCTCATTAGACTAATTCTTCAATACCTTTATCTACTAAATTAGTCAGATGAGGTGTACCTGGAGGCTGGAGTGCAGAACATCACCTCCGGACCACTGTGCTTGGAGAGGGTCGAGCTAGAACCTTCGCCCTTCTTTTCAGGTGATTATCAGTACTTACGCACGTATTCCAGCAATTTCATGAGGCATTTTGTTAAGCAGTTAAGGGCTTGGAATGATTTTTTTTTTGTCTTTTACCTGGGATGAATATCAATGGTACTTTTATTTTCTTTCATTGGAAATATTTTCTCTTTTGATTTTTGTTTTTTAAGTTTGGAGAAGAATTATTTGGTATTTAAGCTAGTAAAGGGGATGTTTATGTGGTAATGAACTTATTGAAATGGAATGCAATCATAGAAACTACTTTTATTTGTTATATTGAATTACCTGTAGCGTTCTCTGCCTCTTACAATGTGATTTTGTAATTATTCCAAAGATCTTTATCCTTCCAGTTACTCCAATGAACACCTTGGCTCAGGAATCTAACTCACTGGTTTTTGGCCGGATGAATGTTGTCAACCCTCATGACACACGACAATACCTTTATTGTCTAAAGCCAAAGCCAGAAGCGCGTATGAATCTGTCTTTGTTACGGCAAGCTACAGCCATAGGCAAGCTTGACATTGTATGGCGAACTAACATGGGTGACCGTGGGAGGCTGCAAACAAGCCAGCTTCAGAGAATGGTTAGTGTGGCTTTAAGACATTATGTAATATTTAAGTCAAGGTCAGGTTAGAGTAACAATAATTAGTTGCTTATCAGATATTTGTGGTTTATTATTATTCCATTTCTTTAGATAAAAATTTTAGGCTTTGTAATAGAAGGGAAGTGAATTTCTTTTATATGAAAGTGCAATTCTATGTAATTTGTTGAAAGTATTTGCATTTTATTTAGAGATTTTCATAAAGGAAAAAAGGTATTACATCATTAATCCATTCATACCAGGAGCGCTTGTAAACATGCCCACTTCAATTAGTGAATTAGTCGAGTTTGCACGTTGAAAGCTCCCAAAATGCTTCACTAGGGATTCCGTTTCTAGGCAACCTGATCTCATTTGTTCACCCCCACTCCTTTGATTTTCAGGAAGAAAGGCCTTCATGTTAATTACCTTTAGTATTGTTGATAATGTTATAAAAATGATTACATTAATGATAATAATTCTAAAAATGATTATAAGAGTAGAAGAAATAAAACTTTTCCCCCTGAAAATTCAAGCAATGGGGTAAACAAGGGATGTCAGCCAGCAATGATATCTGACTCAGTTTCTTTATCAATGTTTTTTTTAGCTTTCTGATTTTTTTTTTTCCAAGGCAGTAGATCAAGTGAAGTTTATCTGCAATTCCTTTAGGAGACATCTTTGTCGTGTTTCTAATTGTATGGTTTACATGCAGGCACCGCAATATGGGGATGTGAGAGTTACAGTAGAAAAGATACCCAATGTTGTGCAGTTGGAAGAGCAATTTTCTGTTGGCCTGTCTATCACAAATATATGGTAAGGTTGATATAAAAGGGACCCAGTGAAAGATTGCCCTACATTGGCTTTAAACAGATCACAAAGATCCAATGTCATGGTGTTAAAAGCTAAAAAATTAGCTGTAGTATCCTGATACATAATAGTTTAGGTGCATTGTTTCAACTAGGGAGAGATTAAATTTTTATTGTTCATTGACAGTGAAAGAAACCTAGAGCTGCACTTAGACTTCCTAAGTGGTGGCGGTGGCTCTGAATGGAATGGAGTTAGTAGCCGGAGTCTACCACAGCTTCGACCTGGAGAGTCCACTTCACTCTCGCTTTCTCTTGTTCCTCTCCATACAGGGTTACAGGTTAGTAGTATTGATATGAACAAAGATGCTTTGGAATCTTAGTCTTTGAAGAAATGATGAAGTAAATGGATGTTGTATGGTTAATTTGATTTCATTTTCCAGACAATTGCTGGGGTTCGTTTGACAGACACCTTTCTTAAACGGACATATGACTATGAGAACCTTGCACAGGTGTTTGTGACGAATGAGAAGACAAAAGAAAAGGAAGATTTCTTCTCTGCTTGGATAAACCAACCTGTTTAAGTCTATCCTTTGAACTTGTAGTTGAGACTAGAGTATTAAAACAAATGTAAATATCTGTATATGGCTTGCTGTTATGAGAGAGTTTGAGTGGAAAAATTTGATTAGTACATAGAAAGAGATTTGAAGATTGAAGTGTATTTTCCATTTCTGTGTTGACATTCCAGATATGAATGTTTGTTCATCTTCATAAAGTCTGCTTTAGAAAGCGAGTTATTACAAATTCAGCCTTTGCCTAAGATATTACTTATTGAGATGCAACTGCTCTTCTCGGTATGTAATCCTAAGGATATTTTGAAAATTGCTTGTCTGAATATTTATTATGAGATTTGTTTGTTGTATTTTATTGTTTTTTATGAATTAGTGTTGAAAACAAATATCAAAGCACTTTGTTCAGTCTATCTTGTATAAAATAATGTTGCATATCTTGTTTTATTTAATCATGGTTTCAATGTTTTAAAAGTTTAGTCAATTAGTATTCAATATATTTGAATTGAGTAACCATTTGCAATAGCCAATTACTATATATTGCCCTTTCTTTGCTTTCTTTGTACTGAAATGTTTTTATATGGATCTATATTGAATGAATGCATTATGCATAGTATATATTTTAATTACCCATTCTTTATGTATAGAGATATGACCATTGGGCCCTTTTAAACTTTTTTTTTTCTCATTTTACCTGTTACTAGTCCTCATTTAGACCTTAACCATGTTGGAAAATGCATGTACAATATCTGGATGCCAAATTTATTACCATTATTTTTATCTAAAGCATTAGTACGTTTGTTGTTGTTTGTAACTGGGTGTTACTTCTATGATGTTAAAATATGGACTTCTGTTTAATCATATTTTCACCATAATAAGTTTTAAATATTTTGGTTGGTGATTAGGGCTCTTATATTTCATTCAAGACACAGACATTACATAACTAAATTGGGTCTGAAAGATATGCTTTTAATAGTAATACTTCAGATATGAAACACTAATACAGTCTGTTTTGCTGTTAATGCTGCTTATTAGTATATGGGAAAATACCTAAGGTTAATTTCTAACCAATGCTATATATACTTTATAAATCATTCTAATGCTTGGAAATTATTAAGACAAAAACAAGAGGAGTACAGGTTGTTGGGTTAAAGCACCAGTAATTTATTCATTGTTAACAAAGGCCGGTACAAAATGGACAATGTGCGACTTGCAACATGCACTAGTTACAACAATACTAGGATACTCTTAGCTCAAGCCTGAGGTTGAGGGCCTGAATTCTCAAGTCTCGCATGATGTTATGGAAGTACTTTTTACCTAACTCATAGTGCAAAAAATCTAGGATGTCAAATGCTACTCCCTTCTTAGGTAAAAATATTTCCTAGGAATAAGGATTCTATCAGTTGGAGATTCATTCTATAATAGAATTAGTCCAATTTACCCTAAGTGCCCAATGTACAAGTGATTAGAATGTGCATTTTTTTCTCTGTCGTATGCACTGCTGGTGTGATTAGTACTGCAAGACAAGACTACTATGGCAGGTGTCTCTGAAAATGAAAAATTATAAGGAGAGCATGGTTTATTATATTTTTAAGTGGAGGTTTATATTTTGTCCAATATTGTTTGATATTTAAATAGAAGTGAGTGAATAATCTTTTTAAATAGACAGTAGCTTGAGTTTATTATAATGCTCATATTTACTGCAGGTTCTTTTGTAGGAACAGATCCTCCTCCCAAAAATGAAAGCTCAGTCAAACCACATGTAGTGGCTACCAAAAATGGTACATAGCAGTACTATTTCTGTCAAAATCCAACACTTGGGAATGTTGT